CTTTTTAGGAACTATTTGTGCGAATCTGATTTTTCCCTCTGTGGAAGAATAAAGGCTGTTTCTATTCTATAATATTCTGAAATGATGTTTTTTGACACTTGAAACACTGTGAGGACATATTTGTACACATCGTATTATTATTATATATTCAAATTTTGCTTTTTAAATGATGATCGTGACTTTTTTTCCTCCTTTCGGCAGCTCCCTTCTTCAGGGGTCACCACAGCGAACTAAGTCGCACGAAGACTTGGCGATTATTTTTACGCTGGATGTCCTTCCTGACACAACCACAGACCACCGAGCTACCACAGCCCTCTGTGTGGAGCGGAGATCTATGTTGGGTGCCCAGGGGGGCAGATGGTGAGGGTTAACGACCTTGCAGAGTGGGTCAAATGAGGGTGGAGGCAGGTGTGGGAGCTTCATCCCACCCACATTTTGATGTTGTCAGTACCGGGAGTTGAACCAGAGCTCTTCTGATCACAGGCCTACCTTCTCTAACCTCTGCACCACCACTCCCAGATTGTGACTTACAAAAATTAAATTACAAGTGCCTGAAATATATTTCAGGGCAAAGTAATAAATGTCAAAACTGCCGCTTCTGACCATCTTGAAGTTTGAAAGAGGCACATTTGTTATTTGAAACATAAAGTATTTTATCCCTAAAACAGTATTCCTCAGAGAAATGTTTGAATTTGTGTGGGTAAATATTCAATAAGTGACATCTAATGTCCAATGACTTGAGCAATTATCAACAGGGATCAGTATGGTGGATCAAGTACAGTTGAAATATCTTCAATAATTTGCATATGCAACCTGCCTGATCTGATTGTTGTTGAAGGATTGGTGTGACTTTTGAACTTGATGAATGTGGATCTCTCCAGTTTGAAGGTACTGGCAAAAGTTTGTATCCAAAGCAAATTTTCCAGTGGATCTTGCCCCTTGTACGTTGGACTTTTCTTCTTTCCATTACCGTCAAAGTTAATTGAGATTAGTTCAGATTTAAAGAACAAGAGTGATGTACAGAGTTGTAGCAACTACAGGGGAATTATGATGAGTCACACGATGAAGATCTGGGAGAGAATTGTGGAAGCTAGACTTAGACGAGAGAGACTATCTGTGAGCAGCAGTACGGCTTCATGCTGAGAAACAGAGAGGGGCAGAAAGAACTCCATTGTGTCGTTGCAGATTTAGAAAAAAGCATATGACTGGATGAACCAACAAAGTCCATGCTCAATAATCCAGGTGTACAATCCAACAATTTTCAGTCAGGTCATCTGGACAGTTTCTTTCTTTTTTTTTTTTTTGGTGCTGAAATGTTTCACCTTCTATCCAGAAGGCTTCATCAGTCAAGGAAACACACAACACAAAACTGATTCTTCCCCCAACAGCTTACGCCAAATTGGAACAAACCAGTTATGTTGGTGCTAAGATGGTCTCTTTGGCACACCCCCTACTCTGGTGCCGGCCCTCTTCCTCATCGACAGTCATGTCATACTGGTTCCAAGCCAACAACGTCCATGCTCAATAATCCAGGTATACAGATATACTCAATAATCCTTCTGGATGGAAGGTGAAACATTTCAGCACCAAAAAAAAAAAAAAAAAAAAAGAAACTGTCCAGATGACCTGACTGAAAATTGTTGGATTCTATACATGGATTATTGAGCATGGACGTTGTTGGTTTTGAACCAGTTTGAGTTGACTGTCGACGAAGAAGAGGGCCAGCACTGGAGGAGGGGGGCGTGCCAAATACACCATCTTAGCACCAACATAACTGGTTTGTTCCACTTTTGGAGTAAGCTGTTGGGGGAAGAATCAGTTTTGTGTTGTGTGCTTCCTTGACTGATGAAGCCTTCTGGATGGAAGGTGAAATGTTTCAGCACAAAAAAATAAAATAAATAAGAAAGAAACTGTCCAGATGATCTGACTGAAAATTGTTAGATATGACTGGGTGCCGAGAGAAGAGGTGTGGTATTGCATGAGGACATCTGGAGTGGCAGAGAAATATGTTAAACTGGTACAGGACATGTATGAGGACAGCAGGACAGTGGTGAGATGTTCTCTAGGAGAGACAGATAGCTTGAAGGCGGAGGTGGGAGTGCATCAAGGATCTGCTCTGAGCCCCTTCTTGTTTGCTCTGGTGATGGACCGACTAACAGATGAGGCAGGCAGGAATCCCCATGGACTATGATGACTGTGATCTGTGGTGAGAACAGGGAACAGGTGGAAGAGAAACTGGTGAAATATATACACTTGACAGAAAAGGAATCAAAGTCAGCTTTAGCACACCAGAGTACATTTGTGTGAATGGGAGGCAGGTGGAGCAGTGAGGCTACAAGGAGCAGACGTAACAAAAGTGCAGTTCTTAGGGTTGACTGTCCAGGAAAACGATGAGTGTGGTAAAGAGGTGAAAAAGAGAGTCCAGGCAGGATGGAGTGATGGAGGAAAGTTTCATGAGTAATTTGTGACAAATGTATGGAAGAAAAGGTCAAAGGAAAAGTGTACAAGACCGAGGTGAGAACACCTGTTGTATGGTCTGGAGACATTGGCATTGACAAAAAGACAGGAGAAAGAACTGGAAGTGGCAGAAATGAAGATGTTGAGGTTCTCCTTAGGAGTGACAAGGATGGATAAGATTAGGAATGAGATCATCAGCGGTACAGCTCAGGTTGAACAACTGGGAGATAAAGTTAGAGAGACCAGACTGAGATGGTTTGGATATGTTCAGAGGAGGGACAGTGGGTATACTGGTAGAAGGATGTTAGAAATGCATCTGCCAGGAAAAAGACAAATATGAGGAAGCAGTTAGAGAGGACATGGAGTGAGGACAGAGTGATATGGAGGAGGATGACTTGTTGTGGTGACTCCTAACAACAAAACAGCTGAAAATAAGATAACTGTTAAAAGTTCATTCAGATTAAACTGGGCCCTTGACGTGTTGGATTACACCGTCATGCAAGATGATTTTCTAATTTAGAGAAATTTGTGCCATTTTCATTGAGGTACATTTGATACGTAATGTATTAACTGTACACTTTTATTGTATCTCATGCTTTTTTGTTTTTTGCAACAGAAGACGACAATAAAAAAAAGGTTGTGCTGTATTTGACAGGTTTACTCATAATTAACACATTTTCTAACATAAAACACTGTATTCACATTAAAAGTGTGACAATTTGTTAATGAATTACGTTTTGCTCCGCTGGAAAATTTACGAGTTTCATTAATCTGTCGAGATTATGTTTATGAAATATTATGGTAACAGTGAAGATGGAGACCAAGCATTATCACTGAAGTTTAAGCAAAAACATGACATTGTGTAGTGTTTAGAGTAAATATTGGGATGATGCTCAGCTACACTCAAGTTTTAAACGTGTTGTTATTTCAGTGCTTTTGTTTTGCAGGGGTCACCACATTGAGCAAAGTTGCATGAAAGATGTGGCAATTGGTTGATGCTGGATTCCCTTCCTGCTGCAACCTGGACTCAAAACTGCAGCTTCAGAGTTTTAAGATCACAGAAGGGACAACGGCGCCACTGCAGCAGTTTTAAGCTCAATATTTCTAAAACTATACTAGTTATATCCATTTTTGTGTTTTCTGAAATCAGCTAGCAGCCATCTTGAATTGTGTTGCCCCCAAAATGTAAACACTTTTTTACGCACAACCACTGATTATTTCATAAATGTTTCAAAAACATCCGTCCAGTGGTTGATGAGATATTTTGCTAACAGACAAACCAATAACTCCAATACTTAATAGCACAGTTTTAGTAAGCAAACCTCACACGATCAGTTAGTGGTCAGAGTATAAGATCAGTTTCAGCTACTTAAGTCACAACTTTTAAGTTAACATCTGTAAAACTGTTTTTGTGTTTCCTGCGTTTGATTAGATATGGCGGCCATCTTGAATAGGGACTCTAAAAGTTAATCAGTTGCAGATGTTCATGCAGTGACAGCATTCTGAAAGATTCCTTAATATTCGTTCCATGACTCATGAGATATTTGACTAACAGACACATGCATAACAGGCAAAACATTATCGCTCTGCTGCGGCGGGAGATAACCCCTTTTTATGTTTGTGTGTTGATGGGAACAAAGCTAAAGCCACCTGCTGTACTTTTCTCTCACGGACTTTGCAGACTGCGTCCGGCGCACCTATCCACCAACACGCGCTGCGTGAAGCTGACAGGCGCGCGGCAGGTGTGAAATGTCAGCCGGCCCTGAAGTGGTCAGCTGAGCTCCTCTGTCTTTCCCGCGGACGGATGAGCGCGTCGGCGCCTCTGATTGGGCGCGTGCTGGGACGCGCTCTCCCAGAAGGCGCGCCTGCCTCACATCCAGCCTCACATTGAACGCCATCACCACGGGGCTCATTTGCGCGCGCGTCTCCTCTCCAACTTGTAGTGGATCTCCGCGCGGCTGAAACACAGCGATGGACGCCACCATCTATGAGATCATCCTGGGAGAGCTCGGGGACTTAAACTGCACTTTGATGGAGCATTTTCACGACTCTTTTTTGGAAAACGCATCGTTCTCGTTGCTGAGCACTGATGGTAAGGTTTTTTTTTTTTTTTTTAATTGTTCACTTTTTTTTTTTTTGTGCATCGTGGAAATATGAAAGCATCTTTTGCCTTTCTTTCATATCATCCTCTACATCTTAGGTTTATATTGCAATGCCACCACGGATGAAATTGGAACCTGCTGGCCGCGGAGCAGCACCGGCAGGATTGTGGAGAGACCCTGCCCTGCTTATATTAACGGGGTGAAGTACAACACCACGAGTAAGAAAAGATCATAAGTTTTATACTTGTTTGACAAGTGAGTTTCTGAACTAAAGTTTGAAATCAGTTTAGCAAACTACTTGCATGCTTATTACATTGGGACATACTTTGAGCTATAAGCCTCATATTTAGTGTCTAACAAGCCAACAGACTCAGCAGCTGCATGGCTGACTGCACCATTTTTCATTTTTTGGGTGATTTCGTGCTCTGCTTTCACCCTCCTTCTGTTCCGATGGAGAGAAGAGACTCATTACACCTGCTGTCACTGGAACAGCTGCTTCAGAAAGAGCAACTTTAAAGGACTGCTGTATTCCCAATAAAAGCACTGACCTCAGCTGCCTTTTGTGAAAAGGACTCAGGGTTTTCATTAGCTCATTATGCATGCTTATGTCTGTGCGTGTGTATTGTCTGCATTGGCAAAAAAATCATCATCTGAACAAAATTGACTGAAATGCTCAGATCTTTTGCAGTCAGTCCAGTTCAAAATGGCCACCCCAGCCAACTGACCTCAGGAAGCATAAAAATGATTATAACTCTGACAACTTTTGCAGATTTTAAGTTGAAATCTGGTGTAGTAGCATCGTCTGGTCAAGCACTAGATATCACACAGTATCCCTGCTTAAAACTTTGGCATTATCAACTCTGTCTATCAGCAAAATACCTCAAGAACATAGATTTTAATGAAATTATCAGAATGTTAGGGGCACATCTAAAACCTAATGTCAAATTTTGTTTTATTGATCTAATTTTGGCAGTAGCTGAGGACGGTGGTCAACACATCACTTTTTCCAAGATCTTACAACGTGCATAAGGTTTTGACTAAAACTGCTATAACTGCATTCTTTACCAGCACAAGTTGATTTTAGAAAAAGAAAGAAGGAAAGAAAACTGCTGTGGACGGGCGCCATGCGTTCCTTCAAGGACTGCTAGGCCTTTGATATAGCGTGCGTCTCGTGTGCTGCTTTGAGAAATGTCAGGGCAGCTTTGTAAAAAAAAAAAAAAAAAAATCAGGGACATTTTTAACAGTTCAGCGACTAAATAACCCCAGGACTGACAGAGTTATAGGCAACAAAACATCAGACCTGTACCTTGGAGGCCATTGTGACTTTTTTGTTGTAACTGATATGTTTTTCAGTAAAATTGAGACTATTTTTCAACTGCAACCACATAAAACAAGCAAGCTGGTTGAATGTAAACATTAACCGATGACGTGAAAAATGCAAGTCTAATATGAGTTACTAGGAATGTCTGTGTTTCAAACTGATTATTTTCCAACAGTAAAAAAAAAAAAAAAAAAGGAAGTCGACATTTACTGGTCATGCAAATGATTGGATAATTTATTTATTTATTTTTTGAGTAAACGCCTAATTTCTAAATCTAAGTGCACTTAAATGTCAAAACAACGTTCAGAAAAGACACAGTGAAATAGAACAAAAAACAAGCCTGAGCTTTGTTGTTGTTCTACAGAACATGTTTGTACGGGGGAAAAAATAGTTTCTGACCGTTTTTTTTTTTAAATTAAATATTAACCAAAAACATTGGCAAAGCATTATTAACAATATTACAAGGTTCAGTGAAGGCATCATGGTTTGATGTTAAATCTGGTTTCAGTCATGGGGGGAGATGAAGGGGTCGGAGCCTATTATTTCCAGAATTGTGTTATCATAGTTTTTAAGTATATTCGTTACATTAAACACCCAAGTAATTGCATTCAAGAGCAGAATAAAAAACTACTTTTATTTTTAACACTAGTACCATTAAAGATTATTTACTGGCCTGTGGAAAAAAAACAACATAATTTACTCTGACACACGAAAATAAATAAATAAACATGAAAAAAAAAAAAACAAATAGAACAAATACAAGAATAGCATTTTAATAAATAACACATGTTCTATGTGGGGCGGCACGGTTGCTCAGTTGGTAGAACTGCCGCCTCGCAGCGAGAAAGTCGCCAGATCAAATCCCAGCCGGGTGCCTTTCTGGGTGGAGTTTGCATGTTCTCTTCGTGCATGCGTGGATTCATCCGGGTACTCCGGTTTCCTCCCACAGACCAAAAACGTGCATGTTAGGCTGACTGGTAACGATAGAGCGAATGGTTGTTTGTCTTCATGCGTCCCTGTGATGGACTGGAGACCTGTCCAGGGTGTTCCCCGCCTCTCGCACAGTGACTGCTGGACATGGGAACCAGTGACCTGAAAAGGAAGAAGCGGGCGTGATAATTGATGAATGGATGGATATGTGTTTATTTCTGAAATGTGCCATAACATCTGTCTGGATGCTGTTGTTTGCAGGACGTCACATTTACGGAAAGCTTGTTGGTCAAATAAGGTCATGATTCATGGCTAATTTTAAAACCTGACCCGAATAATAAGGAGCAGGTATTAGTAATACCAGCAAATTAGAAATACCTAAATAAAATTGACGTCTTTTATGCTTTTTCCAGCTTTAAAAACAAACCAAAAATTAAAAAAAATGTCACGTGGCAAATAATAAGGCTACTTTATTTGTGCAGATGTTGTGATCTGATTGAGGTTGTGTTTTATTAACCTCAGCTGCATGAAAGTTACTCCAGGTCATTTGACCTTTTTTTTCATTCACCTTAAAACCAAAACATGCCTGCTGATGATCTGATGTTTGCAATTAAATCCATGACATTACTGTCAGTCGCCCTCTTCAGCAAGCTGTCGTTGCCCATTAAGTGTAAGAACCTCTAGATTCAAAGTTACAAGTGTTAATTCTTCAGTCTTGTACCATTACGGTTAGAAGGAGACAAAATGAGATTGCAGGATGACAAGAAAAGAAATCAACGTTGTAAATACTTCAAATGAGTTGAGTTCATTATGGAAATAATGGGTTAGTTTCATCCAGGTGTTAAAAGACAAATGAAACTTTTCTGTGGATAATGCAAAATTATGATAATTATGAATCATCAGCTCAAGTGCTTGCATTCAGGCAAAGTTGCACTAAACTTTAAGCCTCGTTTACAATCAGATGGTTTCTTTACGGATCGCTGAATAAACAGAAGGAAAGCTCTTTAAATGGTGTCACGTGTTTATGTCTCATCAATTTTTCCAGCCTAAAGCCACAGTGAATCAAATATAGACTAAATATTTGCTTGTAATTTGAAAGAAATGCCAAATGGATGGTGTTATGCTGCTGACTTCTGTGGCTGAGCCATCTCAGGCTTAGTAAAAGCTGAAGACAGCACATCACAAGTCTCTTAGCGCCAACACTGTCGCATTATTATGTAACCCCTGTATTAATCATAAGACCGATGAAGTCAATGCCACTTCTTTACGAAACATGAACTCCCCTGAAATGCTCCAAACATATCAGCTTTATTAAAAACAGCTTTTAGGTCTGTGACAGACTCAAGATGATGCTTATGATGAAATTATTGTTATGGATTTCAACATGTTCTTTTCTTTTTTTTTTTTTTTTTTGTCAAACCAATCCTTCCAGTTCAACAGTTTGCCAAACAGTTGCACTTTTAGTGGGAGGTTTGATTCGTGTTTCTCAAAAATTGCTCACGCTGGCGTGCACTTTTACTCTGACGTGCAGCAGGAACTTTGAAGTCGTTCCAACGAGGGGGATTTCATCTTTTCACTGGAAGTTGTCTCGAGCGTTGCTTGTAGGTTGAATGCTCCATTTTTTTGCTGTGATTGGTTGTTTAGCCAAGCTGGTTTTAGTGGTTATTTTGTTGTCAGAAAGCCTGTATTTTTTAGAGGGGTCTTGACATAATGTTCACAAAGAGTTTCCAAGTGCATCTCTAAGAGAAGATGAACGTTCTGATAAACACATTTCTCAAAATCACCCACGGCTTCAAGTTGAAATAGTGCAGAACCTTTCAGTGAGTGGACGTGCATCAAACTGGAACCCACAGCTCCCCAGTCTCCCAATCACAGTGTGTCACTGCTCAACTCAAACTACCACATCCCAGCATTGATTTCTGTCTCATCCTGAATGACTCATATTTTCTTTTATTTGCCTTTAGTAAACAGTTGGCGTCAGATTTCGTCATTTGCCAAAACTTTTGATGATTTCTTATTTTGCCTGATTAACCAGTATTAGTTTATTATTTTCAAACACGGGTATGTGTCCTCTGATGGTTCTCCACATTATTTCTCTGGTGTAAAATAAAAGGACAAGTAGATTTTTAAAGATAGCTTGTTGGGTTTTTGTCATGGTGCTTATTGAAGTGGCACCACTTGAACACATCTGATCAGATGGGTGGATGAAAACAAATGGGACAGATAAGCATGAAAACACGATTTATCAATTATTTCAAGAAAATGACAGTGGAAACTCTCAAACGGGTCATTTGTTTGTGCTGAATGTGTAACACGAGTATAATTATGATTCATTAATTAGATTCAAGTAATAAAAAATAGCATTTTATGAAACTAACACCTATTTTTAAAGGATAGAAGCATTTTTATTCTAGACCAGGGGTCTGCAACCTTTAGAATCAGACGAGCCATTTTTACACCTTTGTTCACTAAATTAAGTGTTCAGAGCCACGACAACCTGCTACAACTGTGATTATCAACTGGTGGCCCATGGGCCACTTTAAACTTGTTGTAGGAGGCTGTTGTGACCACTAGGGGTGACATTTTAAAGTCAAGTCAACTATAAAGCACATTTAAAACAGAAGCTGTTACCAAAGTGCTTAATAAAAAAACAAATGAGAGTAATTTATTTATTTTTTTATAGTAATATAAATTTATTAAAAACATCAAAAAATAACATTAAGCACAGAACAAAAAATAAATAACTAAATAAATCAAATCACACTGTGGGAAATGCCAGAGAAAACAAATGAGTTTTTAGAAGAGATTTAAAAAGAAGAGGTGGCCTCCCTGATGATAAGGGGCAGATCATTCCAAAAAAATTGGAGCCCATGACTGAACAAACCCAATCTCTTCTGAACTTCAGTCTTGTTTTTGGTACAACCAAAAGCAGCTGATCTGATGATCTCAACACCCGAGAAGCAACATATGGTTCCAGTACAGACGGAAAAGGGGGTGCAAGGCCATTTATGCACTTAAAGGTTAGCAGGAGAATTCTAAAATAAATTCTGGTATGCACAAGGAGCCAGTGAAGGGAGGATAAAACTGGTATAATATATATACAGTATATAATTTACCCTTTATTTATACAGGTAGTCTCATTGAGTCACAAGAACTCATTTTCAAGAGAGACCTATTTTTGGGAGCAAAGGGGGTTAAGGGCCTTGCTCAGGGAGCCAGGTGGGGCAAATGATGGTGGAGGCAGGTGTGGTAGTTTCACCTTTTCCACCCACATTTTGATGTTGACGGTATCAGGAGTTGAACCTGTGACTTTCCGATCACAGGCCCATCTTCCCTAACCTCTGCGCGACCACTCCCCCTACGGGATCAATATGATCCAGGTAGTGTCATTGAGCCACGAGAACTCATTTTCAAGAGAGACCTGTTTAGGGAGCAGATGGGGGGGTTAAGAGCCTTGCTCATGGGCCCAGAGTGGGGCGAATGAGGATGTGGGCAAGTGTGGGTGCTTCACCTACCCCACCCAAAATTTTGATGTTGTCGGGGCTGGGGCGTGAACCGGCGATCTTCAGATCACAGACCCACCTCTCTAACCTCTGCGCCACCACTCCCCCACCTACGAGTTCCTGTTAAGAGCCGATCTTCTATAAAGTTAAAAATGTCATGAATTTTAACATCAATTGATATTTTTACAATTTAAGATAAACAAAAAGACCAGATTGTTGTAAAGTGTGTATGTGTGTGTGTGTGTGTGTGTGGGGGGGATAGTTCTTTTTTTACTTAATAAAAACTATGAGCTATGTAATTGTTAATTAAGTATAAAAATAAAGCATAAAGTTAAAAGTATGTTTTACTCTTTGTACTTGTTCCAGTATTCAGAAATGACAGGAAAACTGCTAAAACGAGTCCTTTTTGTTGTTTGTATAACAACCAATAAAAGTGTTTTATGTTAGTTTTGGTCAAAGCTGCATGTGGCTCCAGAGCTGCAGGTTGCAGGCCCCTGTTCTAGACATACACTGATGAGAGAACACGTTTCTGTTTTCAAGGACGCAACTTTCCCATGAAATGGCCTTTATTTCAACTGTCTGCAGTATTCATCCAGTCTATGACCTCTGACCTCACTCAACAAGGGTTCCCTCTCCTCGCATAACCTCAATTCAACCCATCAAGGCTGTCCTGGTTTCAAAACAGTACATTTCTTGTGTGTCTTAACTCTGTGTCTCTCACACAGAATTAGTCAGTCTACAAAAAAAAAAAAAGGCAGATGTGAGGTGCAGTGCGCTCCAATTATAAATTTACAAAGACCTGGAGGTCTCTTGCTGTCTGCTTCTATTCTGTTCTGGGTTTGATAGGTCAACTAGAAGCAGCTTATGAAATCAAAGACAAAACTAAAATTTCCCTTTACGAATAAATTTGTGTTATTCTGTTAAAATCAGAGTTCAGAGGTGAGCGTTCCCTTATGACACATGGCACGATGCAGCCGCATTGAACAAAGCCACCTCAAAGCAAGACTTTATGGTAGTGAAGCTGCAAGTCGGCTATGGTTTCTCTGTTTGCATGTTCAGAGCGTATTTCACCTCTAGCTGAATGTCAGTCTGAAAAAGCTCCAGGCTTCTGGGACACTGCTAAAACCAAAGCTGCTAACATGCATGTGCACCAAACTCTGTTATCCACAGATTTTACTGGTAACTTATCCCATGCACGCTATGTAAAATGAGTGAAATAAGCTTAGAAATGCTTCAAGTTTCCCCTCTCTGTGTGAAAAAATACTTTAAAGTTCTACATATTATAGAATATGCAATGACGCATCGTGAAAAGGATTTTAGAAGTGCGTGAAACAAACAAACAAAAAAAATGGATAAAAAAAATTGTTTTTGCAAAATTAAATTCAGAGTCACTGTGTTGCCACTACTGTATGATTTGTTAAAAGTTTCTAAATAAGCGGGTCAAGAAAACATTTAACAAAATGCCAATTGCACAGCTGATATGTGGAACCATAGGGTGTTGCATGCTTTTGCAACAAATTGATGTAACTCCTGAAACAAAAAGAGGCGAGTGTTTAAATCCCGCTGGGTCACAGCAGAGCTCGTTTGCAGGCTGGGATGAATTTAAAATGATAAAATGGGTCAGCCTATGAATAGAAGTAGGGCCTAACAGCCCAGGAGCAGGTGTTAATTAACACAATGCTTTATAACAGTTAGCAGAAATTAAACAAACAAAAGAAAAAAAACATAATCTCACATGAAGCTAAGGTCTAAATTTTATTGAGATTTGATGACTGGACTGAAGTAGAAATGATAGATGTTTGTTTTTTTCCTCACATCATTTATGTCTGATTCAGTTAAATTCAACTCAGTTTATTTATACAGCACCAAGTCACAACAGAAGTTGTCTCAGGACACTGAACAGAAATATTCATACATACAAAGCCATTTAGTAAAGTTCTCTATCTAAGGAAGCAGCAGATTGCATTGAATAGATTAATTAAAAATTACAAATATAAACATGTAGAGTAAGTAAAGACAGCAGCAGAGTGAGGAAATGTGGTCTATTTATCCTCCAGTAGTCTAAGCCTATAGCAGCATAACTAAGGGATAGCTCAGGAAACCAAGCCAACCCTAACTATAGAATTTTTCAAAAAGGATTTAAAACTGGACAATGTGTCAGCCTCAAGGACAGAAACTGAAAGTTGATTCCACAAGAGAGGAGCCTGATAACTGAAAGCTCTACCTTCTATTCTGCTTTTGGAAACTCTAGGAACCACAAGTAAACCTGCAGTCTGAGAGCAATCTGTCCCAGAATTAAGCATTTAGTACAACTTGACCTAAAAAAAGATATAAAAACAACCTTACTACTACTATGGGGAAGTGGTGGCGCAGAGGTTAGAAGATGGGCCTGTGATCGGAAAGTCGCAGGTTCAACTCCTGGTACCATCAACATCAAAATGTGGGTGGAAAAGGTGGAACACCCACACCTTCCTCCACCCTCATTCGCCCCACTCTGGGTCCCTGAGCAAGGCCCCTAAACCCCACCATCTGCTCCCTAAACAGGTCTCTCTTGAAAATGAGTTCTCGTGGCTCAATGAGACTACCTGTATAAATAAAGGGTAAATAAAAAATAAAAAAAACGAATAAAGTAAATCACTAGTGCCTTTGGGGAGTTATGGTGCAGAGGTTAGAGAAGGTGGTGGGCCTATGATCAGAAGGTCACCGGTTCAACTCTCCAGATTGACAACATCAAAAAGTGGGTGGGAAAGGTAAAACGTCCTTGTTTGCCTCTGGGCCCTTGAGCAAGGCCCTTCACCCCCACCATTTGCTCCCCTGGGTGTCCTAGATAGCAGCTCTCTGCTCCACACAGAGGGCTGTGGTAGCTCAGTGGTCTGTGGTTGTGGTTCACTGGTGACCTCTGAAGAAGGGAACAGCTAAAAGAAAGAAAGAAAAAAAAAACGTGTGCTTTTATTTTCTAGTTGTTCCCTTTTTAAAGTCAAGGCAGCATATTGTATGTTTTTGTGGTATTTCTTACTTAGCACATTCTGTGAGCAAAGTGTGTCAACTTAACACATTAAAAATGCCCGCTCAGGTAAGTGGCTAAAAATACTTTATAATTTCCCTAAGTTTAAATTAATATTAATGCCAGTAAAATGAGTTTTAAAAGCTTTATGTGTTGTAGCAGACGTGCACAGCGTTTATTCAGTTCTCTGGTCTACACAAACTGAGCATCATCCATGTTGAGCAGACTTACATTAAAAACATTTATTCTCTCTCTTGCTACAATCAGAGTGTTCCTGCCAGCCTTAGGCACGACAAAATATTCACACTGCTCCAAATAACGTCACATCTGATGTATCTGTTTTACAAATTTACACATTTTTTTTTTAAATTTTGTATGTTTTTGTTCATTCTAACACTAAAATACAATTTTTAATCTGAAATTCAAGTGCTTACATTTTAAAATACAACATATACCTGTGTTGCTTTGTTTGTTGGCACCACTTCCATCTGCGCATGGTGTCCCCCTATAACACAATGTCCAAATTGCTTTTTCTGCAATAGAACTATATCGATTCTCTTATCAGGATTAATAAAGTCCGAGACCTATCAGAGCACCACTGGGCGTATCAGACCCTGAGAGGAGCCTGTTCTTATATCTTTAATCAAAGACGATGAGTGTGTGCGCTGCGTTGCCTTCAAAGGCAAGCACAACACTGAAATAAATGAGCATGGAACAGACTGTCATCGTCAGCAGACCTAAAGGGAATGGACTGTAAGCAAGTATCACCTTTTCTGTGCTTGAGAGCATATATTTGGGTGTCTGATGTGAAAGCTGAGTCAAAAATCATGTTTTTTTTTTCCCCAAATCAAACTTGAGGTCTCATGTGTTTGAAAATTGGTGAATGTGTCATTCTCAGAAAGCAAAGTACGTTAGTTCTCCAGTTCAGAGTAGCTGCATTCAACCTCCCCTTCTCTATCTAAAGCTAAAATCAAATCATGCTGCGTTAGCTGGTGTCAAAATTCCTTTGCTTTATCCAGTGGAGAACCCCTTCGGCCAGAGGTGGGCAACATATATTTATCAAAACGTTTAAAGCAATCAAATGAATTTTTATTAATTAATTTTTTTTAATTTTTTTTTTTTACGACAGATTATCTAGAAAACCCTTTTCAGGCTTTTTCTTGTTGTAGCGTAGTTAGTATGCTTTATAAAACGTCTTTGCAATATCCTTTAGGAATATTAGACATATTCTGTAAACTGGCTTTTGTGACAATACATTTTACATGGTAGCATGTTATGCTAGTGGAAATATGCTAAACAAAGTTATATATTTGTTTTTCTAAGTCTTTAAAGTTCAGTCTAGTTCTGTAAACATAACAACTTAAAAATGTTTTTAAAAAAATTTGCAAATTTAAATCGAAAAAAAAAAAACATCCATTGCAAATATATAAATTTAAAAATTTTCTTAAGACTTGTTGGTAGATTGTTATTTTTTTAATAAATCTTTTTTTCTTGTTCTTTTTTAAACTAAGAATATTGGGGGCTTTATGGAGATTGTCCACGGACTGCTTTTGGCCCTGGGGCCTTAAGTTGCCCACGTCTGCCTTAGGCCCCTCTATGCCATCATGGAAGGCCTAAGAATTCTGCCCATATGAAATATTACTTTAACATTTTTATTTAATATTATTTTAATTTAAACATTTTGCTATTCAATATTTATTATTAAAATAACACTTTGCAGCTGAGCAAGACACTTTATAAATTCAATAAAATACAATTATCCAATGACATTCTTTTATTGTCTCAGGCAGAAACATGTTTGAAGTTCTATCTCATTGGTTAGGACTTCACAGTCAGGAGAGAAGGCACAGCTGAGTCAATTTTCAGTCTGAATTATTAAAATAACATGTTATATTTGGACACAAGACTGGGTGAGCCTTAAAGCATGCTGGAAAGTCTGGGGACCAAAGCGTTCACATGAGTGGTCCCTGTTGGTTGTTCTGTTTAGTGTTGAGCTGGCATTTATGTTCAGGTTGTTAATGACTGTAAAAGAAACACCCCAAGTCAGATGTCAGCACTTCCTGTTCATAGATTTTATGGAGTGTGAAACGGAAAGTAAAGTGGTGTGAATGGGCCACGGCTCTGTAGTGTCTTTGACATTAGCATTTATCAGGTTGCTACAATATTACATCTCAACTAAAGGCCCAGGTCTTTTAGTCACGGTTCACCACTGGCTTTTCCAATTGCTATCAACAGTCATCAGCTTTTTAGCTATTTTTACTTTTCAATTAAATGACTCAGTGCTTTGAACTATTAAAAAAAACTCAACTTAATGTTCCTTATTCTTGTCCCTGCTGCTGCAAATTGGTAGTGTCAATTTCCTATTTATCAATAATTGCACCCTCAGCACGTGAAAAAAGCTGGCATCTGAAAAATAAACGGTTACCACTCTGACATTTCTCCGTACAAGCAGCATCTGTTATTAACACCTTCTGAAAATCAACAAGTTGCTTCATTATGGTGCATTTATATCTGATCTTTTACTATTGCTAACTGTGAGCAATGAAACTGGTCATTGGAACTGTATAACTACTAACTGTTCATATCAAGTGTTAATGAGTTGAACTGGAGTATAGAACAGGGATTTCTGGTTCTTGGAACCCAAATTCCCTGCATGTTTTAGATCAGGGGTTTCCAACTTTTTTAAAAAATTTTTTTTAGATACTTTCACAATCTGAAAACGGCCAAGAGCTACTCATGTTTTGTAATATTTATATTTATAGCCTATTTTCACCCAAACCATTGGAATAAGCTTGTTTTGGCTGACCATTTACAAAACATCTGTATCCTAAATTCACAATAAAACATTACAAAAACATTGAATTTACATGAATATGCATTTTGACCATAGCAGGCATTCTATCAGTTGTCACAGTTTTCAATCGGGACCATTTTATCTACAAAGTAGTTTTTCAGAGCAGAGCAAAAACTAACTCCCTTGGTTGTTTTTTTTATTTTTTTTTTTATTTTTAGCAGGAATAAGGTTATAAAGTATTCTTTGGTGGAAAAGTCACCAAACACCATCCAATTAAAATCATCCAGCTGGGGTGTCACTTTCGTTGACAGACTCGTCACACTGAATTGAATTGAAAACCATTCGCACATGTCCAGGTCAGAGTCTAGCTCTTTAAGTGCATCTGCAGATAACAGACACTTTTCTTGCAACAATTTTAACACCGACTCACATCGGTAGTGGCAGACACAATTTTACATTTTGTAGTCCTGGAACAGAGTTTTAGCTACCATGGCCAAAACCTCCTTTTAGTTCCACCATCGGCAACGTTTTTTTTTGTTCTCAGTTAGGGTGAGCACCACTCCAAACAAAGCTTCTGTTGCAGAACTGACAGTCTTTGTGGGATTGGTGAAAAAGGACGTTTGCCTCTGAAGTGATGTTTTTAGCTCCTTAACCTTGTCTTTTTGAACATTGCTACCTGGAGGAAAGTTCCACAAAACGTTGCTATGAACTTTGGGAAAATGGCACTGCACATTGTATCTTTCCCCCGCTAGCAGGCTTGCTGCACAGATCAGACACATGCACTTGTTAGAAACATCTCCGTTAACCACTCCAGATATATACTGCGGTCATGGAGGCTGCCTGTCTCACATCAGCCCTGACTCATCCAGCTTGACAGCAACATAACTGTTTGACAACTAATTGCCAAACAATCTTTTAGTGTACGAAGGTGCTGGGACACCTCTGAATTTTATTGGATAGAAATGTAAGTTATCTGCAGCGACAAATCAAATGTTACTGCAGATTTTTTATGAGTTTGTTGAGGAGCTACTTGAAAAGAGCTGCATGTCGGAGACCCCAGTTTTAGATGTTTTCTGCCCTTCTGATTTAAATGAAAAAGTTACTTCTAAAAGTTGGTTATTAAATAATTGAAATGAACTGTTTTAGAGGAAAAACAGAAATGATATGCAGGAGAGTAGACCTTAAGGACCACAGTTGAACACCTCTGTCTAGAAGACATAAAATAACTGTAAAGACAGTACAGAGACCACTCAAGTCACAGAAATATAATTTTACCTAAGCAGCATATATTAACCCTAAATGCTCTTTGTATTCATACATCTCTTTTTGTCGCTTTACTCTTTTTATTAAGCCATGACTCACTTGCTTCAATAAATGAGCCAACTTTTTATTTTTTATTAATCGCTTATTAATAAATTTTGATTCCAATTTGCACTTACATGTAGTCACTGCACTGTATTTCTATGTAAATTTGCTTAAAAAAATTAGCAGAGTAAAGCCAAAGGTTACATAATTAACTATTATATGAATATTTATTTTTCCACAATCTTCTTTTATATTTGGTGATTTGAAAATAAGCTTAATTTTAGCCACACATACAACTGATGCCGTAAGCTTTCGATATAAATTTTCTCATGCAGAAATTCACACATTAATGCATCTTACAGCTAATGCAGTTTAACAGCTGCAGCTCGGCTCGATGTAAAGACTTTTGATGCAGTGAGGCTGTCCCCTTGAAACCTTTAACAAACTCTTCACGGTTAGGCTGTGTAAGAGCTGTGGCCGTCAGCAGATTCAGGTCAAACACATACCAACATTTACCAGCCATTGCACACAAAGCCCTTGTGGGATCCAATCAACACAAGCCTCCACAGGCTGTGCTCACAACCGGCACAGCTGCCACACATCACAGTGTCATACAAAACTGGGGAGACATTCTTAAACCATACACATTTAAGACAACTATGTTACCAAAAGGGAGGTTATAGCTTTGATATTCCCAATACATAAAAAACTCCTAAAATTGTTATCTTTCATTTTCTCTAACACTGAGAACTTTAGAATAAATGGTCTAATTTTAACATTTCTCTAGAGACACTCAGACTCCATCTCTATTTCATTAAGGCACTTCAATGTCAGTGGAGTACCCTTGTCAGTACAATCAACTAAGATAACTAATACTAAGACTTATTGCCTCAGCAGTGGTTGGATGCATGACATACAGTGATGGGTCCGGCTACAGACAGGAGGTGGAACACCTGGAGAGCTGGTGCAGGAAGAACAACCTCCACATCAATGTGAAGAAGTCTAAGGAGATGGTTGTGGATTTAGGAAGGTACAAACACACCTACCCCCCTCTGCACACATAAGGATCTGCGATGGAAGTGGTCTCCAGTTACAAGTACTTGGGTGTGCACCTGAGTAACAACCTCAGCTGGGGCAACAACACTTGCAGTCTATTCAAGAACACACATCAACGACTCTACTTCCTCAGGCGGCTGAGGCGAGCTGAACCAGGACACTCAGTCCTCACCTCCTTCTACAGGTGTGCAGTGGAGAGCATCATGTGCTCCAGCATCAACGTGTGGCATGGAGGCTGCACAGCTGCAGAAAGAAAAGCTTTGCAGAGAGTGGTGAAGGCTGCACAGAAGACTGTTGGAGTCCGTCTCCCCACCATCACAGACATCTACATCTCCACATGCAGGAACAGGGTCACCTGCATCATGAAGGACCCGACTAATCCAGCACACACACTTTTTGCCCCGCTCTCCTCAGGCAGGAGGCTGCGGAGCATTAAGTGTAGAACCACTAGACTGAGGAACAGCTTCTACCCTGAAGCTGTTAGACTCATGAACCTTTAACCAGAAAAATCACTGTATTGCCACTTTAATTGGAATTGTCACTTTATCCATGTTTCTGATTTCTTACCCATAAGCTGCTATATTCATACCCATCTGTTCACACAGACTCGGGTTCAGGCTGCTGTTTAATATACAGTATTATTTTACATTTTTAGTGTTTAGAGTATATCTTAGATCCTTGTATATTGTTTCTTTTTTTATACTTTATATTATTGCTATTTTTAGGATGTAAATGGGACCTAGAGAACAATTTTGTTCCACCTCATGTACCACATATGTGCTGCGAATGGCAATAAAGAACATTGAACCTTGAAGTATTGGTAAAGTACATTACGTGGAGAAAATGTTTGGTTATATTAAAAAAAAGACAGTTTTGCCCACATTTTTATTTGTAATTTACTCCATAGTACCTCATGCAAAAAATGCTCTGTGATAAAGAAACCTGATAAAATGGGGAAAGAATCTGTGCATTTACCTCAGTGTTGCTCAGTGCTTAAATCTGTCAAGAAGATTCACCTGTGGGGCAGCAGTGGCTGAGTGGTTAGAGAAGCCGTCCTCCAATGGGAGAGTTGGGGGTTTAATTCCACCAGCACTCACATGATGAAGTGTACCTGGGCAAGATACTGAACCCCTCATTGCTTCTGATGTGTGTCCCATTGGTGATCTAAAAGCACTGATTAGTCTTTGCAGAGATATAATAGAGTGCTGTATGAATGGGTAAATGAGGACACAGATTGTGTTGTCAAGCACTTTGAGTATCTTGATGAGATAGAAAGGTGATATACAAGCAGTCCATTTACCATTTACCTGTTGCTGCTGCAGAATAAATTACTCTTGATGGAAATTCAGGAGGGCAGCACGGTGGCACAACTGGTAGAGCTGCTGCCTCTCAGCGAGCAGGTCCCTGGTTCAAACCTCGGTCCAGGGGCCTTTCGGGGTGGAGTTTGCATGTTCTCTCCGTGCATGCGTGGATTTTCTCCGGGTACTCCGGTTTCCTCCCACAGACCAAAAACATGCATGTTAGGCTGATTGGTAACTCTAAATTGTCCCTAGGTGTGAGTGAGAGAGTGAATGGTTGTTTGTCTCGTTTGTCTCTATGTGTCCCTGTGATGGACTTGCGACCCGTCCAGGGTGTACCCCGCCCCTCGCACAGTGATTGCTGGACATGGGCACCAGCGACCCCCGTGACCCAAAATGGAATAAACGGGTAAAGATAATGGATGGATGGATGGATGGAAATTCAGGAAACTCACCACAGAAACTGGTCATCAGCAGGTGTATGGTACATTTATTTCATTTAGCTTTACTAGTGCATTTATTTAAACTCAGAAATTCTAAATTCTACCCACATTTTTCCATCACACCAAGACGATAAAATAGCCCAGGGGGTGTTTACAGAAAGCCCTACCACATCCTCTCCTTATCCATTATCAGACAATACTTCTGTTCTTATCCTGCAATTTACTCCAAGTTGATAGAAAAGGATCACCTCATTTTAAAGATGTACTATGAGAGCTTGATTCTCAAGCACACTGAATCGAATACTTACTTCCCTGAACACTGACCGAATTGCATTCAGAGCAAACAGATTTCCAGAGGATCCAATCTCTACCGTCCTATAGTCTATTTTTATAAACTCTGAAAATAATAAATTCTATACTCGAATGGTTTCCTATTGATTTTAGCTCAGCATTCACTTCTATTTGACTTAGGAAAGTCTTTTACTAATGCCTTTATTGGATTTTGAACTTTCACCAAGTGTTCAAATTACAACAATGATGTCAGGTGTTTAGTGCCCTCCTTTTCACGTTTGGCCTTATGACTGACAAGAACAAAACTTCAAAATAAAATCAGTCAAATTACAAACAACAAATATTTAAATTGGGAGTAAATTGAGAATCGTGCAGTAACATATAAAAATGTCATTTTAAATGGGAAAATACCTAGACACTGGTTGATCATTTACAATGGAGACAAAAATGAACATGAACAACAATGGGCACTTTGTTAAAAGAAATACACACTAAACACAGAATCCCAACACAAAGATGGTAGTATCATCTCTAACTCAACACTGCTGTGTAAAAATGTCTGACTATTGTTCAGGGAAAAAAAAAGAGCTGATTTTGATTATTTTGACAGTCGAATGTAGCATTAATTTTGACACATGCACTCCAAGCATCACTAAATTCTGAATGTTCTGCTCCGAGTTTTAGGACTTTTGTTATGTATAGACATCCATGTCAAAAGCTACAAGACTAAAACAAATCATATTTTAATTTCAATGATAATATTCATACCTAAATGTTCTCTTTTGTTGTTTCAGTAAGCAGCTGTACATAAGACTTTGATGAAGTGGTTCTAAAATGTGCCAGCATGCACTCCAGAGTGGGATAATGTATTCTCATTATCCCGACACACTGTCCTCAGTGTTTAGGTTGTTAATGTCCCCGAAGGCAAAAGACCCAGCACGGAGCCTTTTACTCATTTTCTCTCTCCAACTGACTTCAGTACTGCTGCAAGGAGTTAGCTGTTGACAGCAAACAGGAAAGCAAGTGTTTGCCCTCACAGTGCTACCTAATGCTTCATGAGGGCAGAGAGAGAAAAACAGAGCGCTTAAGTGACACAGCTGTGAATATAAGATTACACAGTTTCTCTTCCTCGGGCTCTGTTGGACTGTCTGATTCACTGGCCATTACTCAGGCCTTCTTAAGAAAGAATTATTTCCCACTTAAGCAGGAAGCAGACTGACAACTACACAGTCACCCTTTCACACCAATTCTTCATGATGTGATGCATGTGCAGCAGAGCAAGTAGTAATTGATCTAAATCTATGTTCGTTCGGCTAAATGGTCCAAGCGAGACATTGAGTTCCGAGCAATGAACAATTGTAGAAATGCAAATTAGCAAATTCTGCAGGATGTAGTGAAAGTTCTTCTGAATATATACATATATATATATATATATATATATATATATATATATATGTATATATATATATATGTGTATGTATATATATAT